CTCATCTTATCTCATCTCATTTCATCTCAATTCATCTCATCTCATCCCATCTAATCATCTCATCTCATCTTATCTCATATCTTCTCATTTCATCTTAGCTCATCTTTCTCATTTCAACTCAACTTATCTCATCTTATCTCATTTTAAGTCATTACATCTTCTCTCTTATCTTCTCAATACGTCTCATTTGACACATGACCTATGTTATCTCATATTATAATATATCATATCATCTCATCTCATGGTATATAAATCTCTTAAAAATGTATGAAACATAAGATATCCAACCAAATAATGTGTTGCTTATTAAGTGGACCAACTTATGCTATAATAAAAGGGTAAGATTGCAACTAGTAGGCTTTTTTTATTTGTTTTGGGTTTAATTTAATAAGGTATCTTACTCCGCTCTGACTATACCCTTCACCGTACAAACGAAAGCTCAGCAAGGATTAATTGGGGTAACAGGTTGTGAGCCGAAGACCTATTTACCCACATCTGAAGTCACAGCTCCAACCTAATCCTCCTTCAGATTTAGATAGAGAGAGCTTATGAATCCCTTCTGCTCGCTACTTCAGTTGATATGAAACGTACTTTTACGTCGCTCTATTAAAGAATTCATTGGAAACCAGATTTTATTCATATTTTCCTAAATTTAATTTTAGACGATTGAGACCTATTTGGAACTGACTACAACTGCATTTTATTTGGAAAGTGACGGTCTATGTTAAACTTATTTTTGCGGCTCCCAATATATGACCCAAATAACCTTAGGTCATCCTTATTCTATTTGTGATGAGTCAGACAAATACTTATGGAAGAGCTGTCACAATTCCCAAAATTATGCTAAAGACAACCTAAACTTGATTTATATTCTGTTCTCAGAAATTTGAACTAGTGTTGTCTAGCCTTAAATCTCTGTCTTATACTTTTTATCCATAAAAGGTGCGCATATTCCTAAGATAAAAATATAATCTTTAAGAGTTGCTTTGAAGATTATCAGTAATTCTTTGATCAACTCCTAGTCAGCCTAGTCTCTTAGGGTGATTGAAGGAGTGACAATTGTGTTTTTCCCACAATCAGATGAGTAGGCCGCGTGATTCCATTGAATTTTAATTATAGTTACTTTCTAATTCTTATCACATTCAGCGATGTTTTTAGTTTAGACCTCGTTGAAATGGTTCTATCAGTACCCCCAGTGAGACTCAAACCCTTTTTGGGAGTATTTTTGCCCTAAAGACAAACAGTACCTTTCCAAAATTTTTATTGTGGTATTGTTGATTGGGCAAACATGTATCTGCCATTGAAATCAATGACGTTACTTACTTTTGTTATAAGTAGTCTTTGAGACTTTCATTAATCTTTGAACAAGAATTTGGGTTGTCTCTATTTTCAACTTTTTAACTTTTCATAATGATTCAGAGAAACATCGGTCCTATTGAGGAAATCTACCTCACTGCTCGAGTCTGCGCTCACATTTGGAAAAGATCACAGTTCCATAGAGACCTCAAGTCTGGCCATCAACTATAGATGGAATGAAAGTGTGTGTATGCAGGATTAAGTGGAATGCACAGAGAACTTCAAGTCTTGCATACTAGTCGACCTATTACTACTTTTACGTTCAGCAGTAATGCACTTATTTTTTTCAAGTTTATACCCCGTGAATGTTTCGATTCTCAACTACTTATTCAATCCTGCTTTATTGCAATGTTGCATAAGGAATTGGCAAATTACGTTAATTCACTTATCTTTTATTTATTCGCGAAAGTTGACAATGGCGCATCGCAAAGTTTCCTTTATGATGTCGAAAGTGCAGCTTCACCTTCGTCAAAGCATTCCGAGCAAGTCAATTCAAGGCAACCTTCTTCTCTGTCCAGAAACGGTGAAGTCAGCAGAAAGAAGTATGCTTTGTCGAATAGTCCATCGCAAAGCCTTGAAAAGGATCGACTTGAGTCAACAACGGTCGAGTTAGATTGCGAGCAAACTCAACCATTTCTGTCTGTAGATAAAAATGAAGTGAATCCTGCCACTTCCGACATGGTACCCGCCGAAGGTCCGGGCCGACCGACTTCAAGAGCCCTGCCTGTCAGCGCCAAACCGACTCGTTCAGTCGAGCCGGAGTACGGAACTGCTGGCACATTGTCAGAATCGCTTGGATCCGAGGGGGGCCCGGCCCAATTTGCCACCTTCCGTGGCAAAGGAGTCGGCCAGGCCGACTTTCAGACGTCGGGCGGCAGAAGGAGTCGTCAAGGCGGCTCCCGAGGCCAGACGCATGTGCGCGGAGGCCGAGGAGGAGGCGGAGGTTGGCCGAAGCCGACCGGCAAGAAGGCGTCAAGCAATGAGCAGACGATTTGTGGAGCAGAATTGGAGGGTAGCACCGATTTGATGGGGCGTGGATACAACAGAAGCAACAATCGACACCAGAACCTTCCAGAAATACTCAAAGGTCAGTCGGGAACTATTGTAGAACCTCATTTGTCTTATTCTGGCCATCTTTTCGCATTGACATTTCCAGGCATTTTTATGTCTCGAAAGTGAACCAACGTGGTGAAACATCACACGATGGGAAAGTTTCGGTAGAAATGTGTTTGTGAACTGTCGTACTTTATTGTCACATTGAAGGCTTTTTTCTAATGAACATGTAGAATTTGCTAATAAAAAATGGGGTTTCCAGGCATCTCCGGATTTTTAATAATGTTGATTTCACAGCCATTTCGAGAGAAAATGTTTGGTAAAGAGATTCAAAGGTGGATCCTTTCAGAAGAGGGCAAATCATGCTTCATATCATCTCATCTCTTTTTAACTCATCTCAACTCAAATCATCTAATCTCATCTTACTGATTTCATCTCATCTCATCTCATCTCATCTCATCTCATCTCATCTCATCTCATCTCATCTCATCTCA